AGCGGAGCGACAGGGTCAAGCGTGCGTTGAGGAATCCTCGACACGTCGCAGGGGGGGGGGGGGGGGGGGGTCGTATTGGCCCGCTGGGTGGAAGAGATCGAGCCATTTTGATGCAGTGGGATCATCACCGTCGGAAGACAAATATCAAGGATGAGTCGATGCCAGGCCAGAGGATTTCCAATGAAAATGATATTTCACCCACACAAAATTTTCGTGATTCTGAGGCGTCCGGTAATTCTTAGTTACTTCAGTGTTTTATCACCACACAAGTTAAAGAATCTGAATTTCGCACGCTTTCCAAGAGATATTTCATCTTTCAAGTAAGACCCCGAATCTGAAGGGATGTGAGGTACACGGCGCATCCGAGAAAGGGTCTAGTTGTTGCGCGCGCTTCAACTACGGCTCCTTGGACAAACAACCTCAATTCAGGAACAATCGAGAGAATTCTGAAAGTGTCCGTGCGCATTTACAGGGAGGTGTACACCATTCAACATTGCGTTAACGGACTCTTCAGGGTTAAATTTATAAACATGTAACCTTTAAAGTTGAGAAACGCTAATCAATCACTTTTCTTAGAAAGAGAAAAGCAATGATTCCAAATCTGCTCTTACTTTAGTACATACGCCCTTAAAAGGATATACAGCCGTTGAAATAGTGCCAATGTAGCGAAAAAGTACCTTTCGGGCGGTACTCGTGCGAAAATCCTCAACGTAGCCGTTTTTTTAATACTGGACGTTTGGAGCAGTTCTAGTAAGCATTTGATAGAGCAAATCTTCTAGTTTATGATGGCGTATTTACTTTTCGGATTGGATGAGTTTGAACGGAGTTATGGCTTTAGGAAATAAAAAACTCGCACTCATCACAAATTTTCCTCGTTAATTTTGCAAAATCCTCAACGTGGCCATTTTTTGAATACTGGACGTATGAAGCTGCTTTAGCAACCGTTTGATAGAGAAAATCTTCTAGTTTTGTATGACGTATCAACTTTTTGAATTTGACGGAAATGAAGCAAGTTATTGCTCCGGAAAGTGTAAAAACTCGTGCTCGTCTCGAATTTTCCTCGTTATTTGATCTAAATTTGTTATTTCTTATAACTTCCTGTAATTTCAGTACTGATTAGAAAAAGCTCTTCACAAAACTTCCAAATCTGCTTTCAGATTGAAAATTCGTCATATTTGAAGAAAGTTATAATCATTTGAATATTTGTTCAAATTTCAATAGTAAATAAGCTGCTCCACGGTCAACGCCAAAGTCCAGTCAACACACAGCTGGCGAAGGCGGTTAAAAAGCTTCTTTCAACTGAAGGGCTACGTGCAAATTGAGAACCACAATCTGTGTAGTACTAGAATTTGGTAAGTCTTGTGGAGGAAATAAATAAAGAACAGATGTTGTCATAGGTATGCCATTTTTAGTGGCTAGTTTGTCGTTTTCTGGTCTGTTTCTCGTTTGCTCGTTTGGTAGGACTCATCAATAATGATTATTCTTTGACTTTTTCACTTTTTTAATTCTTAAGCGAATTTTTTTGTGGGCGGTGGGGTAGCAGGGCATTTATGAGCACTTTTGGGGGAGAATCAAACAAGCTTTTCAACCTTTTCATAGTTCGGCTTTTGAAGAGGGTTGTTTCATGGACTTCGGCCTCCGGCGGAGGATGGTGGGGG